CGGGCTCCAGCTCCCGCCCCCGCCCCTGCGCCGGCGCCCGCGCCCGGCTCCGCGCGGCCGCGCGCCGCCCGCCTCCGTCCCTCTCCTCTGCACTCCCCGCCCCTCTCCCTCCCGCCGCTCGGCTCCGGGCTGGGGCCTCCGGGCCCACCTCCGGCGTCGTCCGCGGCGCCACGCCCCCTGCAGGCCGCCGCGGTGCGCCTCCCGGGGGCCGTGGTGCGCTGGCGACAGGAGCGAGCAGGCCCGGGGGACCCTAGCTCTGGGTCCCCGCCAGGTTTCCCCGATGCTTCCACGACCGCGCGCGAGGGTGAGGCCGGCGGGAGGGAGGGTGAGGGAGGGGAGGCGGCCCGTGCGCCGGACGAGATGGGGAAACTTTGGAGCTTGGGGGTTGGGTCTCAGCCTCAGAGTCGGGTTTCTCAAAGTGGGGTCCGCTGCGCACTGGCGCGCAAGTCATCTGAGGTGCTGGTTCAAAACGTAGGTTCCAAAAAAAAAAAAAAAAAAAAAAAAAGTAGGTTCCTGGGCCTGGCCCCAGACCCCCCACATGAGAATCTCCGAGGCAGGGCCTGGGAATCTGCATTTTTTTTAGCCAGCCTCTGCTGATTCTGCTGTACGCTCCTTTGATACCTCGCCTGCCCCGGAGGTCAGGAGGAGGGCCGGGTGCTGGCCGCTGTGGTTGGAGGTGTTCAGAGCCAGAAACTACATGCAAGGTTGTGTGTTGCGCGCGTGCTCTTTCATGGAGAGAGTCCGTCTGGTGCTTCCAGCAGTCTCTTAAAGGGTCTGGACCATCAGGGTGTCAGGAACTGCTCTCTCCTCTTGTTCTTCCTCTCACACCTCTGCAGAAAGTTCTTTGAGGTCATCCTGTGCATAAAAGGAGAGGCATGCCCAGAGGGAGGCCCCACTGCAGAGTTCTGCTGACCCCCTGCTTGTGCCAGGCCTGACCCAGAAGGGATCAGACCCCCTGAGGACTGATGGTGCTTGGGAAGCCAGCCAGCGCCCTGCCAGAGAGAAAGCTAAGGCACTTGGGGACTTCCCCTGGCACAGGGCACAGAGCATGCTGGGAGGCGGTGGTCGCTGTCCTGGTGTCATCTGGGGGGTGCAGGAGAGTGGTGTGCGCTTGGCCCTGACCCAGGCACTGGTGACTGCTTTCGTGGAGAGGGTGGTGTGAGCCACAGGGATGAAGTCATAGGGAGCCGGAGCCCACACACACTGTGAGCAGAGCATCGCACAAGCCCTCAGCTCCTTCCTCTGCCCTGTCGAGGTGAGAAGGCTGTATCAAGAATTGGGAGAGTCCAATGAGGGGGTGCAGAAACTCCAAAGAGAGTGCAGGTGCGCTGCAAAAGACAGTTCCTTTCCCTCTGTGAGCATCCCTCGGGCTTCCTGTCGGTGTTTCCGCTGCCAACCCCCAGGACCTGGAGAATGAGTCACCCGATCTCCAAGAGCAGGCTTCTCTTTCCTTTTGATGCCCGGCTCCCAAATGCCCATCCTGCTGGCCCAGAGCACTCAGTCTTCCCGGAAGCCGGCGTCACAAGCCTGAGAGCAACACCTTTCCAACTTGCCTGGACCTTTTGTGTGTAGAAGACAGCTGGGGGCATCTCCGAAGAGCCCAGGCTGGGAAACACGTGCATGCGTGCTGGAGTGCCAGGCAGGGGGGCACCAGGGACACTTGATGACCAGGCCCCTCCCTAGGGACCCTGGAGGGTCCACTCACCTGGAGGCAGACCACCGCCTGAGCTGGCCGGTTGGCCTGCTTGGGGGTGTGTGGTTGGGGCAAATGCCATGTCAGCAGAGGAGGGTCTGAGCCAGTCCCTCACCTGGGGTCTGGAAGTCACCCTCTTCCTCTTGTTCCGGGACCTGGTTCCATCTTTCTTCTCCTTGCTATTAATTTTAAAAAATTTAAAGGATTTTATTTATTTGAGAGAGAGAGAGCACAGCAGGGGGAAGGTGTAGAGGGAGAGGGAGAAGCAGACTCCCCGCTGAGCAGGGAATCCAGATGTGGGGCCCTGGGATCAAGACTTGAGCCGAAGGCAGATGCTTAATGGGCTGAGCCACACAGGTGCCCCTTGCTCTTAATTTTTTACTCAATTTTTCGCTTTTTCCTGGTTCTTTTAGTGTATAGTCTTCTCAAATCTCTTCCATCTATTTACAGAGAAAAGTTTCGTTTCCCCTCCCCCATCCTCTCCGGTCACCAATGCCTCACCTTTCTCTTTCCTTTTCAGCTAAGCTTTTTGGAAACATATTTATTTAAGATGTTTACCTAATTTACTCTTCGCCCACTCTAGCCACAGTATGTCATTAAAATCTCTCTGCCAGTAACTTTGTTGCTAAGTTCAGTGGGCACTTTTTTTGAGAGAGAGAGATGTGCCACGGGAAGGGCAAAAGGAGGGAGAGAATCTTTTTTTATTTTTTATTTTTTTGGTAAGATTCTATTTCTTTATTTGAAAGGGAGAAGGAGAACAGGTCGGGGAGGGGCAGAGAAAGTGGTAGAAGTGGACTCCCCACTGAGCAGGGAGACCGACTGGGGATCATGACCCAAGCTGAAGGCAGGTGCCCAACCAACTGAGCCACCCAGGCAGCCGGAGGAGAGAATCTTAAAGCAGGCTCTTTGCCTAGCTTGGAGCCCATCGCAGGGCTTGATCCCATGACCCCAAGATCATGACCTGAGCCAACAGTAAGAGTCAGACGCTTAACCAGCTGCGCCACCCTGGAGCCCCCAGTCTTCCTCTTATTTGACTTTTAAGCAGCATCTCTTCCTGTTGTCTACTTTGAAACTACACTCCCTTGGCTTATAAGGCATTACTCCCCTCTAAGTTTCTTTCTTAAGGTCCTCTGGGAGTTCCTTTTCTTACCCTCATCCTTTCCCTTTTGGTGTCACCTAGTGTGTGACCCTGACCCCTCCCCAGGTGATGTTGTTTCTGCTCATGGCTTTACCTGCCATGCACACACCGAAGGCTCCAAGTTTCTCTTTCCAGCTCAGAAGCTAGTAAGCTCACCTGTCACTGATTCCCTGATGCTGGCGGAAGACAGGAGACTCTGGGGTCAGAGACACAGGACCTTATTACTCAGGCACACACAGCACATGACATGAGCTGTGGCATATTTCCAATGATCCCCTTTGCCTCTGAGTCCCATGGGGGCAGCACTATGGGCCTAGATGGATGCTCTACAAGCACTGCGTTCACATCACGGGGGGACACCAAGCCTGGGAACCCATCGCTCCCATAGGGAGGAGTAAGCAAGCCTAGAGGGAGACACCACCTCATCTCTGAAGGGTGCTTGCTACAAAGACAACACTGAGAAGTGGCCTGGGTCCAAAGTGGTCAGGGTCCTGCCTCCTTGGCGCACACAGCAAGATGCGGAGTACAAAAGACCGCTGGAGGACTAGCTCTTCCAACTGTGGGCACTTCATACTCAACAAACTATGGCATCCTCTCCCAGGCCTCCTTCCCCACCTGCCTACTCCACTCTCTGCTTACTATTAGTGTGGCCAGCCAGAGACGCTGGAGTCACTGTGGTCTCTGGTCTCTCTCAGGATCTGCATCTGGTCAACCATGTCCAGTTAATGATGCCAAGGACGGTGGCTCTCATTTATGCACATTCACCGGGTGCTTGTGTCTATCATATTATGTCACCCTTTCGACAATGGCGAGGTCTGTTTTATCGTTGTCCTGATTTCCCAGGGGAGGCAGCTGTGACTTGCTCACAGATAGTGACTGGGATCCACACTTAGGTCTGTCTGACTTGGAAGCCTGTGTTGTTAATGTTGCTTTATATCTTTGACCCAGCTGTTTAACTGCCTTGTTGAGGATCTGTCATTCGTCACCCCAGTCGGTGGATCGCAATAGTCTTCTTTCTAACTTGTCTCCCCACCTCCAGTGTTGCTCTTTCTAACGTGTCTTCCATGCGGCAGTTGGAGCCGTCACTATAAAAGGAAATTAACTCTGTCTCTCGCTCATCCTCCCTCTCTCCCCTCCTCCGTAGTTCCTATCACTTTCAGTCCAAACTGCTAACCATGGCATTCACATCCCCCAGGTGCTACACTGTCCTCATGCTCTACGCTTCATGAAGCCATCATCCCATATTACTCACCCCTCTCCCAACATGGCATATGCTTTGCACCTTGCACATACAGCACAGTCTTCCTGGGACGTTTTCACCTCCTTAACAGATGCCTAGTCATCCCTGAAGATCCAGTTTGAATGTGTCTCATGTCCTCCTCTGTATGGGTCTAATTCCTAGCGAATACCATAGCCTATCTTGCACCATGTTTCTACTGTTCATTGGCCTGTTCTGTTCTTCATGGAACATCCTTCTTCATCCCCTTGTTGGCCTTTCCTTTAGACTAAACTTAGATGTCACTTCCTCAGGGATAGCTTCTGAGTTTCTCTTGCCTCCCACCACCTAAAGTTAGGTGTCCATCTTTCGTGTTCTTCAAGTCCCGCTGCTTGAGCCCAATGTCGCTGTAATGACCTAAAAGCACCCTAAGCGCA